CCCTCTTACGGAATCGTGAAAGTTTTTTTCGGGTAAGCTGCTACTCGGGAGACAGGGAAGCTAGATAGCTAAGATTTTAAGAGGATGTTTTCTGACAGTCCTGGCGGCTAGTCTTAATTTGTTTAGCTAAAAGCATTTGCCGGAAAAGCCGATGCCCATAACGACAAAAACTGCAGAGAACTATGCAAAAAACGTATCTTCGCACCGACAGCCGGTGTGTTGGCCAATTATTTAAACTTGGAATAAGTTCATCCGCGCAGTCGCATCTGTTTGTGGATCTGTGTGTAAGCTGCTGAATTCGTAGTCGTGCGCAACCACCGGGTTTTCTGTCTAGGCGACATTTTTGGCGTTGCGCACAAGTATGCTAGCTTACTTTCAGCATCAAGTTTCTTGTTAAGCACTGCAATTTCATATAATCTTGCGCGGTCTCTAAAATCTCGTCCTTGTTTGCGATTCTTGCCTTCAAGCAAGGTCTCAGCTTCTTTTCACTCAGTAATCGTGTTTCCATCCACTCCCCTCTCCCCTTGTCCCACCCTCGCCTCCCTCCACCCTCTATCTCTTTGTTATGACCCTCGAGATCTAAATTCCACTCTTCGTCGGCATTCCATTCCGCCGTTTTCCCCTCCCCTTCCCTCCTCTCCCTTCTTCTTCTCTCTCCCCTCGCCCCCATTATCGTAACCTCTCTCTTATCCCGGCTGGGCCGAGCTTCAGTAGTTGTTAAAACATGGCGTAACTGGACATGTTCAACTGTTGGTACAATGTGGGTACTACAGGATTAGCGCAAAAATGCGCTGTCACGCCGGGAACTCTGGCACATACCTGGATTTTATTCGTTTCCGAAATTTCTCCTAGCGGGAGCAATCTCTAATTTTTGAAAAGATAAGAAATTTTGACGACCTACGTCTCTTCATAGTTAGCCAGACACACTATGTTGTGATGTATTTGTGCCCTGTTCAGAGTGGACGGAAAATTGTATTTTTTTTTCAGCATAGCTGTTGTTTGCGTAATGGGGAGTCACGATAAATACCAGGGTGAGGTGGCGCAGGAAAAGTACTTGTTGTTGGATGCCTTTGTCGTGCTGCGGAAATTTCATGCTTGAATTTTTATTTGTTGTCTGAAAGGATGATCTGTCGTACAACAGCTAGGTTTGGTGTAGGCGACGGAGATGTGAAAGTGATCGGCGGTTTCTGTTGGCACAGGGATCACCGGAATTTGTGAAAAATGATGCAAATAAGGCTGCGGGCACACTGAAATCGTTCCTCACCGTACATTTCTTGTATATCTGCTTGTTTCAAATAAAAATTTTGTTGCTCGTTGTGTGCCGTTTTGGTTGGTACGCAAAGCTGAGATGTACAGCCACACGAGTATCCGCAGCCCGCGTGCTTCGGTTTCATTTACTCTTTTTTCGTACAACTCATTGCGAGAAACGACAAATTAAGCTATTTCTTAGGATCCCTAGGAATCATTTCAGCAGAAGTTTGCTTGGTATATACAAATATTGTGTTCCAGCCTTCAGCCAAGGCCTAGTGGCGAACCCCGAGATCTAAATTACCACTCCGGAGCCCACCCTCACCCCTCCTTCTCGTCCTCTCCTAGGTCAATCACAACCGTCCCCTAGCTATAGCAAATGGACTTCCAATCGTCGCACTGGCCCAACGAGTTTTAGAAATTGCGATTGGCGTGCTTTTGGGTGTCCAACAGTTGTGTGTATCAAGGAAGCAGAAAGTCTTGGCCAAGGCAAAGGCGAACTCGCTTGGACAATTACTAAAACTCGGTTCGGCGACGTCATATGCGATTTGTGAAAGATTTTTCCAGGCGATGGCAGGCGACTCCTTGCCATGGTGCGAATGGGATCGGGGGAGGGGAGTTCGAGGCAGGGGGTGAGGTTGGGTGTCTGGGTTGAATGCTTAGGTAAAGCCGAGGACGAATAAGTCCTACTGTAGGATATGAACAGGGCAAAAAGGAGGGTAAACTGGACGCATGGGGATGGGGTTTGCCTTTGGTTCTGTGAGGTTTTGGAGGCAAAAAAAAAATAAATAGCTGCCAAAGGTTTCACGGGACCTTTTACCTGCCAAAGGTTTCACGGGGCCGTATATGTTACCTGCGGGCACGAAAAGGCTAAATTTAAATTTTCTTGGTTACGCGTGGGCAAGGAACACACCCATAAAATTTCAGCTTCCTGAATTCCGTGGTTCCCAAGATAATAATTTATCGCCAAAAATTTCACGGGGCGTAGGTGATACCGAGAGCGCGGGAAAGCTGAATTTGAATGGGCAAGGTCGAGCGTGGGCAGGGGGTTATTACATTAAAATTTCAGCTTTGTATATTCAGTGATTCCCGAGATAATAATCCACCCGTCAAAAATTTTCGCGGGGCCGTACATGTTACCTGCAGGCAGGGGAAAGCTGGATTTAAGCACGTGGGTGGAGGGGGGAAGGGGGCATGCCCACAAAATTTCCGCCCTTCTAGCATTCGTGGTTCATGTGATAGTAATTTTACCCGCCCAAACTTTTACGGGGCCGTACGTGTTATCCGCGGGTACGGGGAGGCTGAATTTAAATTTGCAGGGTCGCGCGTAGGTGGAGGATGTCCCCCTAAATTTTCAGCTTCTTATCTTTTGTGGTTTCCGTGTTGAAAGTTGCGGACACACACACAGATAACCCCGTGACAATATGCGTTTTGTACTGGCTGTTACACAGCACAAAACGCATAAAAACGGAACTGTAAGTGCTGTGCACAGTTACAGGCCGCTGAAGACCACACATTGAAACAGTATGTAATTTTTGCGTAAAACTGATCCGGGCTCTTCACTTTTGGCTTCGCCTGGGCATTAGATTCATAAATAGGGAAGCTGCTTGCTAACGGCAAGTTTTTGTAAGATAATTCCCACTCCATAAGCTTAGTTTTTTCTGCTTTTCCTTTTTTTTTTTTGTTTATTTATAGGTTTCGATTCTTTGTTTTTGCTTTTTTTTTTTCGTTTTTATTGATAAGCTCAGGTTTGCTGTAATTTGTTTTTTATTGTGCTATGTTGTCTTTTTTCTTTGCTGCTGTTCCCAATTCTTGCTTCGAACTCCTGATTAGTAGCCTTGTTTCCTTCTCCATCCTGCCCTCAGTCCTTACCTCCAGAGCTGCATTTGAGCATCCATCACTCTCCACCCCCTGAATATAGTCACCATTTCCTGCCTCGAACTCCTGTCTAGCGCCCTTGTCCCCCTTCTCTATCCTATTACTCAGTTTCCTATTTTTTAGCCAACTTACTGTGATGCAAAAGACATCGGATGCCGCAGATGAGGCGGGGGATGGGGATTGGATGACTGACGGTTGGCTGGGCACGTAAGGAAGAGAGGAAGGGGGTGATGAGTGGGAAAGGGGAGAAAATGTGCTCCTGGTTTTTGCCGCGGATGCCCGGGGTAGGGGAAGGGCTGAAATATTTGTTACTTCCGCAGTGCTCTTTATAGTAGGGATGAGGAGGAGCTCAGATGTTGCTTTGTGGGCAAAGTTTGGGGACAGAGTAAAGAAGGGGAACGAGGATTCAGATCAGTGACTCGAGGCAAGAACTGGAGACAACAGTAAAGAGGAAGAGGGAACAAAGCACTACAGAAAATAAATCAAAGCAAATTTTGACGCACGAATAAATGAAAATTCAAAAAAGAAAAAAATTATGAACGTATTAGTGAAAGCAAAAAAATAAAAGCGGAAAGAAAAAACTGAGTCTATGCGGGTGGAAATTGTCTTACAAAAACCCGTTGTCATTAGGGGACTTCCTTATTTATGAAGCTGATGCTTAGGTAAAGTTGGGAGCGAATAAGATAAAGCCGAGAAAATACAGCTGAGAGTTCTCTGCTTTACCCAAGCATCAACTTCACAAATAGAGAAGATCACTACTGCGGACGGGTTTATGTAAGACAATTTCCACTCGCATAAGCTTAGTTTTTATTTTCCTTTGCTTTCTTTAGCTTTTATTCTTAGGTTCCGATTCTTCAATCGCGCTTTTCTTTTTTTTAAGTTCAGATTTTTTTTTTTAATTTGCTTTCTTTTTTACTGCTGCATTGTCTCTCTTTACTGCTGTCTCCAGTTCTTGCTTCGACTCCTGATTTATATCCTCGATTCTATTCTGTCTCCAAATCCTGCTTCCAGAGTGGCATCTGGGCATCCATCACCCCCAGCCGTTCTCAGCATTATTCGTCTCGAACTCCTGAGTAACCCCCTTGTTCCTTCTTGCATCCTATCCGCAGTCCGTGCTCCTGGAGGTGCATCTGGGTATCCAGCAACCACCTCCCAGCCGCACTCAACGCTTCCACCCACCACTTCCCCGTCCCCCTTCCCCAACTGCACGATCTGCTGGCAAATCGCCAAGCAGCACTGGCAAGCGACATCGCGAAATAGCGTTTTCGGGCAAACTGAGGTGTGTCTTAATGGTGGCCGAGTCGAGCCGAGGTTTAGTGATTGCTCTTATTTGTGTCTTGTATGCGTGGGGTCTCATAGATTCCGAAAGAGGTTCTGTGGTGGCCAGGGACATATACATTTTTGATAAGTACGGGGAGTTCAGTGCCGGTAGCTTCGGTGGTATTGTTGAACAAGAAGCATCTGAGGACATGCCGCGAGAGAGAGAGAGAGTACATTTACGACACACTCTGTGACTCGTGTGATTTTGCGCAGAAATTGACTCCTTGCACTACTTAAGGGCGGTCGTGTTAGTTTGAGGCTTCGGTCGGGAAATTCTGGCTGCGGGATGCCTTTTTTCATAATGCTGCGCCTCCGCAGGCTACCGGCAATCACGAGTGGCCAGGAATTGCGTAGTGTCAGTGGGTATCAGTGCTGCCAGGCCTTGCTGCACTGTGGCTCCTTACATGCGGCACGCAGCACTATGGGCGCGCACCGTTTGTTTGGAGCTCCACTGCCGCATTGTTTGTTGTGCTCGATTTTTATGCGTTTTTGCTGAAGCAGCAGGCTTTCATTAACCGAATTTTGCTTGCCATAGCAGTGGAGGGGCTGCGCTAATGGACGTGGATAATTTTGTGATCATTGACGAGGACGAGGGCTCAGTGGAAATGGAGATCCGTGCCATGGCTAGCCGGCAAAAGAATCTGGCGAAAAATTTGAAAGGTGGTGTTTCGGACGAGAGTGGAGGCACGGTGGGAGTGGATTCGAGACAGGGGCATCAGGACCAGGGCGATTTACGTATGCAGCAGCGGGATGGCAGTTTTCGTGTGCGCTCGGAAAATATTCCGGAGCAGCAGCGTTTTTCCGAATTGTCTGCGCACAAGGCATTGCTGGAAGAGAAGCGAGAATCTTCGGATCAAGTGGAATCACGGAAGTGAGTTTCAGGATTTGGTAAATGCTTTTAGCAAATTGAGTAATAGTACTCGATTTAATTATGGTGTTTCTTCGTAGAGGCAGAAGCAAAGTGCTAAAAAAAAAAAACTATTAAAAGAAGCGCAGGATTTTGCTATATGCGTAAAATTTGGCTAAAATGATATCGTAATTATTCAGGCATGATGAAAACCGAGCAGTTACAGACTGTTCAACTTTTAATTTACCTTTGATATATCGCCGAGGGACTAAAAAGCGCCTCATTCAAATAAGGGAAGGACGGGATACTACTTTGAACCGAGTAGCTATGCCATTATTTGGAAGGGAGCGGGGAAGGGGGGGGGGGACACTTTCGGCTGTTTTTTAAGTTTTGTTTTTATAAAGTGCATGGGTCACATTTCAGCCTTATCGATTTACCACATTTTTGTATCTCCAAAAATCCCATCAACTTTTGATATCATTTTGTAAAGTGCTTTATTTGCCGATTTGTTCTGTGCCGATTTAGTTAATTATTTAGCTTAATATTTGAAAAAAAAAAAATTTAGCTTAATATTTGAAAAAAAAAACTTAATATTTGAAAAAAAAGCGAAAATGCCTGCTTGCATTTACAGTTTATTGCAGTGTGGGTTGGAAAAGGCCCGATACTGACGAAGTTATGAGGGAATTGAACAATGGCGAATTATCAGTTAGTGAAGCAGCAGCAGCAGCAGCAGTGATTTCAGAGTTACAGGACCGTGAAGTCTCTAATGCATCAGTGGAAAGTTGCGCCTCCACTAGCACGCCTAAAACACAAACGAAATCGGCCAAAAGCACACGGAAAACGAGGCGTGAAGAATGGCTGAAATTACATCCACTTGCATCAAAAGAGTATGTCTTTGAAAGAATATTCCGGTGAATGAGGCTTCGGACTGAGACCAAATTTTGCCCTGTAACTGCAACGTCAAATTCGGTGTAGTTTTATGAATTCTGACAGAGTTATGCTGGGAATCCGAAGGGTTTTAACTGAAAGCATAAAACTGCGTGGATAGTTCGAAATCAGTCGAAAACCCACAGTTCCTTGATTTGCTATTGCAATGTCAGGTTGGAACAAGTTGTGTTTAATGAAATTCTGGTGCATTTCATGCGCCGAATCGATACAGAGCGGGTTATGACTGAATGTTTGTTGCGCTCACTTATCAGGCCATCGTCCAGCTATTAAGAGCGAAATGCCAGCTACTGGTGTCGCAGTGTACTGCTCTGTTACAGGTTTGGGCCTGGTATATATGAATTTATGCGCAACGCCCGCGGCAAGCTCACCAACATAGCGATCAAGGAGCCCGGCCGAGATTGTATCAGGCTGTATCGTCGTTCCTCCTTTCGCTACAACTACAATTACTATCGCTGTTCTCGATGTGATCGGTCAATTAGCGCCAAAAAAGATCAGTCTTCCATCCGAGCGCCGGTTATAAAAATGGTGGGCAACGAGATTGTGAGCGACCCATACCCGGTACACTGTCCTAGCTGCAAGCCGTTGACGCTATCAGAACTCCGCTCCATACAAGTTGATCGTGAATACCGTCAAGAAGTCATGGAAGCGATGGAGTCTCCGTTTGAAGCCTGGTCTAAAGTAAGTTTTTTTTTTTTTAAACTCGCTTACTTCAATTAATCTGACTGGATTTATTTTGCTAACGGCAAGCAGGAATACTAATTCCACTCGAAAGGCACGTCCTACCGTTACTGGTCTTACTGCGGTGCTTGCATACGGAGGATACAGCTATGCCGGTGATCTCGATCCCGGATTACGTATCATTTATTAGTTTATTAGTGAATGCTTTAGCAACTGGAACGGTGAACAGTTGGGTTTCAGATTTGTTACATTTGGCAGAGCTGAAGGATTGGTGGGGATGAGAGCTGAATTGACGCCCTGATGGTAATTTGAAACGGGTTCAGATTTAGTGAATTGCCTGTATAAACTTTTTTAGTATAGATAAGTTGCTTTTATTGCTTATGTGTTTGTGTTTCTGCAGTTGTTATCTTCCTTGTACTCTCAGCATCGCAACAAACGCAACTCATTGTTAAGCTCAAATTTTGCTATCGAACCGTTGTGTAGTTCACCTTTCTTGTCTCTAACACTTAAAATTTTTTAGGGTAAGCTAAGAGCTTTGCTGGAAGCAGCAAAAGTAAGAGCAAGAAGTCCAACAGATGAAATCTCGCCTGAAAGGAAAAGAAGGCATGAACATGTAAGTGTGTGAAGCGCACTGCAATTCTTTTCGGTTTCTAATATAGAACGGATTTCAACGTATGCCATATTTTTATTCAGTCGTCTTTCGAGAAAAGATGGCGCTTGTATGTGATAGAGAGATCCAATCCAAGGAAGTGAAGTCTGGCATATTTAAGTCGATGAGTGTTTGCAAAAATTCTTGAACTATTACAGCACTGAGCGTTCGTTACCAGTTGCATTGTTAATGTTGGAAGTTCATTTTCGGCTGGTGTAGGAAAACTGCTCGAATGTGCTAACTTTCCAAACATTTTCATAGAATAACTATAGAGGAAACAGCGAATGAAACTTCCCAAGCAGAAAAGCATAGGACATAAAAATAAGCGTAAAACTGATCTATAAAATAATCACATTTATTCACAACGTTTTTTGGTACTGTATGTCATATTTTAACAACGTAAGAACCACAGTTTTTTTACTGTCACATAAGAGTAGGGCTTTGACACATCCTCGCTCTGATTGCTCGCTTTGGACATAGATTCGACATGGCGCCAGTATGGTGGAGGCGGAGGGAGGGGGAGGCATATTAACCGAAGTAAAGATATCTGATGCGTATTGGAGAAATCTCGCGAGAGCAGTACGTATGTGTATCAGAGACGGTTGAGAGCTGACTCTTGGAGAGGGGGGGGGGGGCAACGGGAAGGGGGGAAGAGAGTTTTCTTTAGTTTTAGCTTCAGACCTAGGCTTTGCACCACTGGTGCCTGTGCCGCTGGGAGGAGAGGGGGAAGAGGGAGCGGAAGGCCCATCGGGATCCTCCTATAATATGTGCGTATATTACTCGTAAACGTCTGTTGTTGTGCTGGATCTCCGGAAGCCAAATCATGAAAGAGCAGTATAATAGTCATTTATTTATAACCCAAGAATAACAGTTAGGATGCCTGAATATGCTATAGCCGACTGACTCAATCAAATTTGCTGGACAGGATGGAGTAGAATCGTAAAGAATAAGATGCCGAGAAGAATAGGTTGTTTTTAGAGAATAGGGTGTTTATAAAGCTGATGAATATTAGAGTATCGCAGCGCTGGGTCAACTGAGATGAGATAAAGACAAAAGCTGGTGGGAAAGAGAACAGGAGTGACATCCGGATGATAACTTGAAACGCGTTCAGATTTACTGAATTGTTTCTATAGATTTTTTAGGAAGATGAAAACCAACCACCGTCTTTTATGGACCAGAAAATAAAGTTCACTGACGTTGGGGACCAACTTTTCCCTGTTTCTGTTTATGATTGACGCGCAGGGAGCGCCTTTTTTCCAGTTTCCATGCATTTTGCGCTCTGTAACAGCAGCACAAAATACATAATCCTGGGTTTTACTTACAGCCTGATGAAAGTTTTCGCTGGAAAAGTTGTCTCAAGAGAGTGAGGAGCTAGGAGGCTAAAAAATTTGGGAGGATGTTTTCTGCTTGTGCAGGGGCCTAACGAACTCAAAATTAGGTCCCAATTATGGCGAGGTCTCACGTATGACCACATGAAAGTTTTGACGTAAAAGTTACTCGGAAGCCAAAGAACTAGGAGATTGGAATTTTGGAATAGTGTTCACCGTCTGAGTTTTCAAATTCAGTGTTGAAATTTTTAATGGGAAATTTCGCAGTTTAGAAACAAAGCAGCATATCGACTGTTTTTGCACAGAACAACGTATAAAACAGTGGAAATCCTTAGCAGGCAAATATTCGTTGGATGAGACTGCACAAAATGCTTGATCGGAGCGGTCACCCTGATGCGCTCTGCTATTTTTTTTAGGCTTACCTAATTTGAGAATCTTAATCTTAAGTTGTCGGTGAAATATCTCCGAAATGGCTTTTATGTTGTTTATTGACTTGTGTCGAAAAAAAAAAACATTCTTCCTGAATGTTCTATGAAAAAATTTTGATAAAATTCTAAAATCTTTATTCTTTGTTTTATTTTCTCATTCTTTATAGTACTCAGCTGCTGGAGAAAAAGTTTTTGGGACTTTTGGCCTTGATCCAACTCCTTCACATTTCTTATTTTCAAGGCAAGACTGGCCCTAGTCGAGTGTCCTTTCATGAGTTTATCGTTTTCCGCGCAATTGAGCTCTTGCCAGCTATATTCTTATTCACTTCTTTACGTCTCCCGTCTTGAGAGGGTTTGCGCATCTACAGGCAAACATTCTGGAGAAGGAAGGTGTGCTGTTATCACATCTCACTAGCGTCGAAGAGAGCTGCACTTGAATAATCTAGTTAGCGGTGAACTAAACTACTGCATTACAGGGTTTTCTTATTTTTAGGTTTTGTTTCAGGCTTTTTTGGAGGGCATGCCATTAGCGAGTACGAGAAGTCGACATGGAGTTGCTCCGATTGAATATGGTGCTGAACCGGGTATGTTTCCAGTTAGTGGTGAAATGCCCGAGGACTGTCAGATCTTGGCTCGCTCCTTTAGGCGGGCATTTGATGAATGGGAAGGGATAATTGTGAGAAACTGATCAGCGATACAAAAATTGGACTTGTGAGACGAGAAATCTGGTTAAAAGGACCAAAACGTCATTTCTTATAAAAAATCGAGTTTAGCGTCACCGTTTTTGGACGAGAAGTGCGCTAAGGAGCCGGAGTTACAAAAGGGGTGGGTATGGGTATCGTACTTTTTAGTGCGGCGCTCTTTAGGCAGACTGATAGTGCTGCAGCGATCTGTTCATTTTCCTCTTCAGTTGAATACTTTACGTTGCTGTTTTGTCTTGTTTTGCATCTTCCGTCTCTTGCACGTCTCGTTTCAGTCATGGCTGCGCCTACGTGCGCGTCCGATACTAGCCGCCCATTGGTGGATGATCGAGTTTGTAAAGAATATCTAGAAAGACACCAAAGGCCAGTTGCCAGAACTACTGAACGGGTAAAATTTATTGGTATCACCTCCTAGTTAAAGTTCGAAGAGATTTTTTTAAGCTTCAGCAAAAGGCTTTGCGCGAAGAGGAGAGGGTTGGAGATCCGTTACCGCTTAGGATTAAATAAATCAGCAGAATTACCAATATGAGGAATACCGAGAGCGGTGGGCAATCGTTTGAGTATGTCCTATGTTAATTATGTTACTGGAATGCTTTCACACGTCGAGCCAGCTTTGTTAGGCCCTTCGATTCTGCACTGCATACTTCTGGTTGGTACCCACTTCTTCTGTCTGCTAGATGTGCATCGTTTCTTCGAGGGCCAATCGGGCTTTTTCATGAATACTACTCAGTAATGTGCAACGTCCGTCAGTTGTTGGCAAGAAGAGCTGCACGTCATGCCCGTTAAATTGGCAGTATTATCTTGCGCGTCGGTCATAGCTTGTTGGCTTTCACTGTATTGCCAGCTGCTGCTGCTGCTGCTAAGAGTGATACTGATTTGATATTATGAGTACTCAGGAAAACTAATTGAAAGTCAAAACAAATTAATGAACCAACCTCTATTTTTTGCGAAGTTATTAATGTCTGTGCTAAATACCCAGATTAAGTAGCTGCCAGTTCACTGCTCTTTTGCATTTGTGCAGTCGCTTTTAATTCTTTTGCATTTTGCATTCATGCCACAGCTCTGCAGGTTGCCTTTGAATCGTTTCATCCCACCGGTAGCCTAGCGTTCGCATTTCATTTTAGAAACAGCGATTAAAATAATGAAGAATAAGACCAAGACTGGAACTGCATCTCCAAATAAATGGGCTATATTTTTTATAACTGTTCTTGCTGTTCTCCAAATGCATTTAGTTGATCGGCTTTTTTTGTAGGATGACGAGCGCATGACTGAACTTGATTACGGCGATTCTGGGGATAGTGACGTTGGTACAGTTGCTGATGAAGATGTTGTTTTTGTTCGGGAAAAAAAAGCCGGGCCCCCTCAGTCCACTCCTTCCAGTAAGGATTGGCGAGATGATCCCGCACGTTTTTCCAGCATGTCCAGGAGGTGTGTTTCGGCTGCTTTTAAAAGTTGTTATTTTCACGCAAAGTTTTATTGCGTGCTTGCAGACTTCCCTCATTTTCAGTAAATTTTAAGAAAGCACACTTTTAGGAACTGCATCTGGCACATGCCATTCTCTTTTTTTTGAGGGAATCTTGGAGAAAGACAGGTGTGCATTTTCGAGTTTATGAAAGTGAAAATAAAGTCTGGGCCCAGTAGATGTCTGCATAAAAATGCATACACACATACATATACATATGCATATATATATGCATACATATGCGGGCATGTGTATGCGAGTGCGTCTCTTCAAATAGTTTGATTCCAGACTCACTGAAAGCTAGAAATCTGAATGTTGTGAAGATACCGCTTGGTCTCGTACGAAGCCAAAAACGTGAAAACAAATTATTCCTTTTTTCCTACCTTAATTTGTGGTCTCACATCTAAACACACACTAATTTTATAATTTGAAAACTAAGGGACTTGTCACTTGAAAATTGTGGCAGATTTTTTCTGTCTAGGATGAGCTTGAAATTGGGTTCGCTATCTGTAAAGCTGTTATCAATAATCTGTAAATTCAAGCTTAGGTTCGAACTGATTTTATTGCTCGATAACCGGGAAAAACTATGAGCCAAAATTTTTGATCTTTTAGAAATGATCTGAAGCAATTTCGTGAAATCGTGAAATCACCGTTCATGCTGTGGTCTGCTTGCTCTGTGACTCCGACCCTATAATGTAAAGAATTTGTAACTCGAGAGTCAAGAAAGGTGCCAGCAGGAAATCTTGGTAGACTGTTTGCGACGAGAAGCACAAAATCAATTCCTAGTCCTTGCTTCATTCTGACAACAACCTCAGGCAAAAATTTGGGCTGACTTTTTGAGATCTAATTTCTGAAAACCAGTTTGCAACTCCTGCAACAGGTGACAAAAGGCATTGTTGCGCCAAATTTTCAGTACGGGCCACTATTTTTTATTACTTATTTAACTAGGGAAACAAGTTTAGCAGTTCTGTTACTTCCGAACGAAAAGAATTGAGTGAAGCAGATGAACAACGAATAATTAGCGAAAGTGAGGTAAAACCACTTACAATCAGGGAAGTTCACATTAAACTTTATCAGGTGACCCGTGACCGCTTGCTACGCCTGTTTATAAAGTTAGTTTTATTTTCTCTTGTTGATCACATATTCCTGTTTCTTTTGACTGAAGCACTAGAGTGAAAAAAAACTGATTCGTACGCCCCATATTTGTGTGAGTGATATGGTGGGACTGGTTACTTCTTCGAACTAGCTGGTGCGGCAGATTTTTTCACACTTGTCTCAACAAAAGAAAATATTACGTCATTCGTTGTTTCGAAATTGCATGCACGTTTTCTTATTATTCATTTTTTGCAGCTATGCAATTCAGAAAACGCATATTGATGAGGGGTTGTCTGTGTGTGTCTGTGTGTGCGTCTGTGTCTGTGTGTCCATGTGTGCGTCTATCACGGTTTTCATCTCAAGACCTACAAAAGCTACAGGGCTGAAGCTTCGGGGCCCCAATCCCCAAAATTGACGCCACTACCCGCATGGTATCCGCGTACGGGCCCGCCAAAGTTTTTTTCGGGAAAGTTCATAACTCGGGGATCTGAGAAGCTAGAAAACTGAAATCTTAGGGGGATGTTCTTTGTTCAAGTGGGTATTAGTGAGCTTCAAGCCAGCCCCTCGGGTAAGTGTGGTACCCGCGCACGAGCCCGCCAAATTTTTTTTTCGGGTAAATCCATAACTCGGGGGATCTGAGAAGCTAGAAAGCTGAAATCTTAGGGGGATGTTCCCCGTCCAACTTGGTATTAGTGAGGTCAAACCCAGCCTCCGGGTAAGCGTGGTACCCGCGTACAGGCCTGCCAAAATTTTTTTCGGGTAAGTTCATAACTCGGGGATCTGAGAAGCTAGAGGACTGTAATTTTAAGAGGATATACCCCG